ATTGGTTGGTGAATTGAGCCCGGAAATTGGTGATTGGAGTCCTATTTTCTAACAATTGTCATTATGTTTGTCAATAAAAAAGAGAGCAGAAAGGACCCACTAATGGGTTGAGATAAGCTTCAACTAAAGAAAAAGTGATTTAGGCTCTAACTATGTCTCGACTTGAGTATACTTAGCGTCAACAACACAAAATTTTAAATTTTTCTACCATTTGATTTCAAATCGTCACTAAAATTTCGAAACATAAAAACAAAGTGTTTTATAACGTTTTAACTTATTTTAAAATTGTTTCACGAGACCAAATCGACACTTTTAATAGTTGGTCTAAATTTTATTAATCTTGTTTCCTATTTGTGTTCGTACGAAGGTCTTTACGCGTTCTTTTGAAGATAATTGGCACTTTTTCAGTCTAAACCTAAGATCAAATGTAACACAAAATTCTTCAAAACTTGGGCGAAGTTCTTCCAAGAGTGGAAGCAATGCTTTTTTCGCCATCTCAAAATCGTGCAGCGAGCTTCGACATGTTCCATTGTATCAAAGGAGTAATTTTCACATCATCATTAAAAGACAAAGTTATTGGAAAACCAGGAATCATCCACTATATTTAAATTTAAAGAAATGATTTTCCACAATCAAAGCATCAATAAGCATTTTACAACATCTAACAATCATAATTAACAAAATACTACAACAGCAAAACGCAAACTTCACTTCCATTTTCAAAGGGATTATATGAATGCTACTCCAATTCAAAGGGAGAATCAAGAGTAGTTAAGGGGGAAAAATAATCCCAGGGATGGTCGTGGACAGGGTTTTTTAATTCTAAATACATGAGCTTGTAAAGCTCTTTTTTACTAGCAATGGTGTCATCTTCGTTGTAGTAAAAATCTCGATAAAGCAGTGAGGACCAAAGAGAATCTTCACCTGAGAGTTTATAAAGGCATTTACAGGTGAGTGAAAGCCGACACAAATCTTCGAAATCCATAACTGACTTTTCAACTCCGATCTCCATTATTCTTCTCCACAAGTCCTCCGGCAGTTCAGACATTCTTTTCTTCTGGTGTTATCTATGTTGATGGCAATGTGCGTTAATGTAATAAATACTTCATAATCAAACACAAAAGCTCTACTTATCATAAAGCAAGGAATAAAGCAAGTTGTAAAAGTTGATGTACTAAAGAAATCTAGTCATAAAGCTAGTAGGAAACGTCAACCTTGGTTTGTTTTGCTTTTGTTAGATATACTCAACGAGTAAATTTGTCCTCACGATATCTTTAAAAAAATATATAGAATTATTATTAATTTGAGCTTATATTTATTCGTATGTCGTAAATCGAGTGCTTAAACTGTTGAATACAGAAAGATTCGATTAATTCAACCTAAAATTTAATATTCTACAATCGGCAAATAAAGATGAACACTTTAATTTGATAAGATTGTTCCAACTTTATTCAAGTTTATCTTTGACTTCGACAATAAGGTTGAAAGTATATGTGTTTGTTGAACTGGATTACGTGAAATTCAATTCATAGCATTGACCACACAAATTTAATTTTACCTGATTGTCATACATAAGAGTTAAGACCTTAATCCTGACCGAGTAATGAACTTCGACTTTATCTCATTTGTATGAGTGTCACCCCCCTCTTCCCGGTCAAGATCGATAAGCTAAGGCCATTACTGTCCACCGCCCTTCTCACGTTGTGCTAAAAGAATATGTCGAGGATGTCGGTGCCCAAAAAACCTTTAGGGACAAAAATTGAACATAATAGGCCATAGATTAGGATCATTTGTGCCAATTTTCCATTGAAATTCTCACTTTTTCTTTTTGACTCCAAGAAGAAGCTTAATTCCACAGACACTCACTAAACTTTATGGACCGTGTAAATTTAATTTTACCTGATTGTCATATGTAAGACCTCAATCCTGAATGGGTAATGAACTTCGATTATTAAATTGAAATTCTTTGGGATATCAAATGCGTGAGATCGAATTGCTGATTAACTTATCAATATCTTAGAAATTAAGACGAAATAATGGAAACGTATATTTATAAAATGAAATAATTAATTTTAACCAAACATTCATGAAACCCACAATTTTCATAAAATTTTTAGCAATATATTTGTTAAATAATTTTTAACGCTAAAGAAATCTAGGCATAAAGGTAGTAGGAAACGTCATCCTGAGATTGTTTAGGGTCTGTTCTCTTTGCTCTTTTCAAACCATTTTTCAGTTTTCAGTTTTTGAAAATACTGAAAATACGTTTACTTACCTATTTTCAGAAATGAATTTCCAAAAACGAGTTTAAAATTTACAAAGAAAACGAAAAACGGCGAAAAAGTCGTTTTGGCTGTTTTCAATTATAACCAAGCCAAAATTTCCTCTTTTTTAAAAAAATTTTATTTTTTGAAAACAATTTTTCAAAATGACAAAAAGAACGCGTTTTCACCAATCTCAAAATGGACACTCAAAACATAAAATCCAAAATAAATTTAAAACTCAAAACTGAAACACGAAGAAAACTGTCCCTTAGCTTTTGATCCCAAAAGAAATAATTGTAATAAGAACCATAATCAAGAAGCTATAAGTTGTTCTCAAATCTCAAGAATGGCGTCTGATGCATTGTAAGACATCATCTATGGAGACATCGTCGAAGAATAATAACTACGAATTTCTTGGTTATAAAGTTCGTTATCGATTTCCTTATTTGGAAAAGTTTAAAAGATTTAAATCAAGCCAATAATTAATTTTAACAAAACATTTCATTGAACCCACAATTTTCATCAAATTTTTTTAAATTTTTTTTATCATTTTTTTTTATTTTTTGCAAAATCTACTAATTTTATTTTTACCAAAAGCCGTTTTAAACAACCCCTAAGTTATTTGATGACGTAGGAAAAATCATTATTGATTCCTTTTGAAATTGTTGCGAGATAAACCTCTACGTTCTCCTTGTCGTGTAGGGTGTTCCGACAGCTCCAATTAGTGAATTCTACCTGCAAAATGAGGTTGGAGCTTTCTCCCCCATTGTACCTCCGGTGTGAGAATCAAAAGTTGGTTTGGGAAAGTAGGAAGATAGTATAATTGTAATTCAGACCGTTCGAATTTCAAGAGAGTCATACATTTCTCTTATAGGCGCCTGATGCCAACACACTCATTCAGCAGTTAATGGTGTCATGTGTCCCACGTAAATCTGCCCACTTCCCCCACGTTCTAATATCCCCACTCGTCAAGCGGTTGGTTGTGCCTATATTTGTCGTTGAGCGGTTCTCATTCGTTCATTGCCATTTGTATGGTTAAGTGTAGTGTTGGTCTCATGGGGGTCGATGGCCTATGTGAACGTAGAGGTCCTCATAGTGGTAGACAGCCTATGTGAACATAGAGGATCGCATGGTGGTAGGTGGCCTCACGAGGTCGATGGCCTCATAGTGGTAGACAACATTTGTGAATGTAGAGGGCCTCATAGTGGTAGGCGGCATTATGGGGTCGATGACCTCATGGTGATATGCGGCCTCATAGTAGTAGACGACCTATGTGAATGCAACCCTACCAATATGTCTAAAGATATGACTATGAGTGGATTCAGTATGTGTACCACGAAGTATTTGGTATTGATTTTTCCTAAATTTTGTAAATTTTTTTGTTCAAATATAATAATTATTTTAAATTGTTTTTATTTACAGTTGTTACGAATCTTATGAAAAGGTCTTTTTTATCTTTAATACAATCCGTCAAAACGCTCTAACCAAGTGGAAAAACAACTTAATCGTCCAGGTGGTGGGCAAAAGACCATAGTGCAGTACCTTTGAAATACCACATAGAGAAAGCATGGACCCAACACCTCCTCCTCTACTATCATGTTATGGAGTTTGGCGTTCTCCTCGCGTAGACGACGATTGTCGTCGTAGATCATTTACATTATAGTTTGTTGGGTTTTGATACCCAATAAATTCCGGACGATGATGTAAACCGATTTTGTTTGTTGGATTATACTTCATAGGCTTCGACCGATGACTGAAGTTGTACATCGACAATACAATTAGTCAGACGAATCTTATACCCTACTCGGGTCATATGAAGTAGCCTAATTAAGTTAGTGTTGCTCATGGCCCGACCCCAACTCTTGGAAGTCTTTTCGGCTGTAGCCCACTTGTATTCTACCTATTGGGCCTTATTCTTTTTAACCTAAAAGCCCAAGTAAATCCCTACCTATATATATCCTTTTGCCCCATTACTGTAGAGTGTGGGAGAATTGTGGTAGCCGTGTGTTTGTGAAGAGGAGTGCCCCTTTTGGCTTCTTAATTCCCGGTCCTTGCTTTGTGCTCGACTCTGCTTTGCCTTCTTTCTCTTATCTAGCCTTTGTGGCTGATTCTTGTAGCTACCATCTTCTTCACACCAAGCTCTTTGTGGGCATTGAAGAGCAACCGGGTTTGGGAGCTTTTGGTAGTTTGGATTTGGTCTCTATTTTGGTGTCAATTGGTTGGTGAATTGAGCCCGGAAATTGGTGATTGGAGTCCTATTTTCTAACAATTGTCATTATGTTTGTCAATAAAAAANACGATGATGTAAACCGATTTTGTTTGTTGGATTATATTTCATAGGCTTCGACCGATGACTGAAGTTGTACATCGACAATACAATTAGTCAGACGAATCTTATACCCTACTCGGGTCATTTGAAGTAGCCTAATTAAGCTAGTGTTGCTCATGGCCCGACCCCAACTCTTGGAAGTCTTTTCGGTTGTAGCCCACTTGTATTCTACCTATTGGGCCTTATTCTTTTTAACCTAAAAGCCCAAGTAAATCCCTACCTATATATATCCTTTTGCCCCATTACTGTAGAGTGTGGGAGAATTGTGGTAGCCGTGTGTTTGTGAAGAGGAGTGCCCCTTTTGGCTTCTTAATTCTTGATCCTTGCTTTGTACTCGACTATGCTTTGCCTTCTTCCTCTTCTCTAGCCTTTGTGGCTGATTCTTGTAGCTACCATTTTCTTCACACCAAGCTCTTTGTAGGCATTGAAGAGCAATCGGGATTGGGAGCTTTTGGTAGTTTGTATTTGGTCACTAATCTGGTGTTGATTGGTTGGTGAATTGAGCCCAGAAATTGGTGATTGGAGTCCTATTTTCTAACAACTGGCATTGTGTTTGTCAATAAAAAAGAGAGTAGAAAGGACCCACTAATGGGTTGAGATAAGCTTCAACTAAAGAAAAAGTGATTTAGGCTCTAACTATGTCTCGACTTGAGTATACTTAGCGTCAACAACACAAAATTTTAAATTTTTCTACCGTTTGATTTCAAATCGTCATTAAAATTTCGAAACATAAAACAAATTGTTTTACAACGTTTTAACTTATTTTAAAATTGTTTCGAAAACGAGACCAAATCGACACTTTTGATAGTTGGTCTAAATTTTATTAATCTTGTTTCCTATTTGTGTTTGTACGAAGGTCTTTACGCGTTCTTTTGAAGATAATTGGCACTTTTTCAGTCTAAACCTAAGATCAAATGTAACACAAAATTCTTCAAAACTTGGGCGAAGTTCTTCCAAGAGTGGAAGCAATGCTTTTTTCGCCATCTCAAAATCCTGCAGCGAGCTTCGACATGTTCCATTGTATCAAAGGAGTAATTTTCACATCATCATTAAAAGACAAAGTTATTGGAAAACTAGATATCATCCACTATATTTAAATTTAAAGAAATGATTTTCCACAATCAAAGCATCAGTAAGCATTTTGCAACATCTAACAATCATAATTAACAAAATACTACAACAGCAAAACGCAAACTTCACTTCCATTTTCAAAGGGATTATATGAATGCTACTCCAATTCAAAGGGAGAATCAAGAGTGGTTAAGGGAAAAAAAAAATCCCAGGAATGGTCGTGGACAGGGTTCTAAATACATGAGCTTGTATAGCTCTTTTTTACTAGCAATGGTATCATCTTCGTTGTAGTAAAAATCTTGATAAAGCAGTGAGGACCAAAGAGAATCTTCACCTGAGAGTTTATAAAGGCATTTACAGGTGAGTGAAAGCCGACACAAATCTTCGAAATCCATAACTGACTTTTCAACTCCGATCTCCATTATTCTTCGCCACAAGTCCTCCGGCAGTTCAGACATTCTTTTCTTCTGGTGTTATCTATGTTGATGGCAATGTGCGTTAATGTAATAAATACTTCATAATCAAACACAAAAGCTCTACTTATCATAAAGCAAGGAATAAAGCAAGTTGTAAAAGTTGATGTACTAAAGAAATCTAGTCATAAAGCTAGTAGGAAACGTCAACCTTGGTTTGTTTTGCTTTTGTAGATATACTCAACGAGTAAATTTGTCCTCACGATATCTTTAAAAAAATATATAGAATTATTATTAATTTGAGCTTATATTTATTCATATGTCGTAAGTCGAGTGCTTAAACTGTTGAATACAGAAAGATTCGATTAATTCGACGTAAAATTTAATATTCTACAATCGATAAATAAAGACGAACACTTTATTTTGATAAGATTGTTCCAACTTTATTGAAGTTTATCTTTGACTTCGACAATAAGGTTGAAAGTACATGTGTTTGTTGAACTGGACCACGTGAAATTCAATTCGTAGCATTGACCACACAAATTTAATTTTACCTGATTGTCATACGTAAGACCTTAATCTTGACTGGGATTATTAAATTGAAATTCTTTGAGATATCAAATGCGTGAGATCGAATTGCTGATTTATCTTAGAAATTAAGATGAAATAATGGGAACGTATATGTATAAAATGAAATAATTAATTTTAACCAAACATTCATGAAACCCACAATTTTCATAAAATTTTTAACAATATATTTGTTAAATAATTTTTAACGCTAAAGAAATCTAGTCATAATGGTAGCAGGAAACATCATCCTGAGATTGTTTAGGGTTTGTTCTCTTTATTGTTTTCAAGCCATTTTTCAGTTTTCGAAAACACTGAAAATGCGTTTACTTACCTATTGTCATAAATGAATTTACAAAAGCGAGTTTAAAATTTACAAAGAAAAAGAAAAAAAAAAAGCAAAAAAGTCGTTTTGGCTGTTTTCGATTAAAACTAAGCCAAAATTTCTTTATTTTTTGAAAACAATTTTCAGAATGACCAAAAGAACGCGTTTTCATCAATCTCAAAATGGATACTCAAAACACAAAATCCAAAATAAATTCAAAACTCAAAATTGAAAACTGAAACACGAAGAAAAGTATCCCTTAGCTTTTGATCCCAAAAGAAATAATTGTAATAAGAACCTTAATCAAGAAGCTATAAGTTGTTCTCAAATCTCAAGAATGGCGTCTGATGCATTGTAAGACATCATCTATGGAGACATCGTCGAAGAATAATAACTACGAATTTCTTGGTTATAAAGTTCGTTATCGATTTCCTTATTTTGGAAAAGTTTAAAAGATTTAAATTAAGTTAATAATTTTTTGGCAAAATCTGCTAATTTTATTTTTGTCAAAAGCCGTTTTAACAACCCCTAAGTTATTTGATGACGTAGGAAAAATCATTATTGATTCCTTTTGAAATTGTAGCAAGATAAATCTCTGCGTTCTCCTTGTCGTGTAGGGTGTTTCGGCTGCTCCGATAGTGAATGCTATCTGCAAAATGTGATCGGAGCTTTCTCTCCCGTTGTATCTGCGACATGAGAATCAAAAGTTGGTTTGGAAAAGTAGGAAGATAGTATAATTGTAATTCAGACAGGATTTCAAAAGAGTCATACCTTTCTCTTATAGGCGCCTGATGCAACACACTCTTTCAGCAGTTAATGGTGTCATGTGTCCCACGTAAATCTGCCCACTTCCCCCACGTTCTAATAGGATGATCCACACTCGTCAAACGGTTGGTTGTTCCTACGTTTTTCGTTGAGCGGTTCTCGTCCGCTCATTTTCATTTGTATGGTTAAATGTAGTGTTGGTCTCATGTGGATCGATGGCCTATGTGAACGTAGCGGTCCTCATAGTGGTAGATAGCCTGTGGAAACATAGAGGGTCGCATGGTGGTAGGCGGCCACACGGGGTTGATGGCCTCATGGTGGTGGCGGCCTCATGGTGATAAACAGCCTATGTGAATGTAGAGGGCCTCATAGTGGTAAGCGGCCTCATGTGGGTCGATGACCTCATGGTGATAGGCTGCCTCATAGTATATGACCTATGTGAATGTAGAGGACCTCATAGTGGTAGACGGCTTCATGGGTGTTGATGACCTCTTAGTGGTAGAAGACCTATGTGAACGTAGAGAGCCTCATGGTGGTAAGCAGCTTCATGGGGGTAGCTGGTCTCATAGTGGTAGACGGCCAATGTAAATGTAGAGGGTCTCATAGTGGCAGGCGGTCTCATGAGGGTAGACGGCCTCATGATGGTAGGCGGCCTTGTGGGGGTCGACGGTCTATGTGAACGTAGAGGATCTCATGGTGGTAGGCGACATCATGGTGGTAGAATATCTAATTGTGGTAGACAGTTTATGTGAACATAGAAGGGCTGATGGTGGTAGACGGTCTCATGGGGGTCTACAGCCTCATGGTGGTAGGCGACCTCACGAGGGTCGACAGCTCATGTGAACGTAGATAGCCTCATAGTGGTCGACAGCCTGTAGGGATAGATGGCCTATCATGTGGTGCTCAACGTGAAGTGCATATCGAGTAGTTCTCACCTCATTGACCATCGTAAATAATTATTAATGAAATCTTGTATCACCTTTAGTTATTTTTTATCTATTTAACTAAAAGTAAGGGTGTAAGAATCTTCTTGTTAGAAAATTGACTTTAACAGTCACATAACTCGAACTTACGAAAAGTACCATTTGCGCTAAAAAAAAATAGGTCGAGGATAACGATGCCAAAAAAAAACGTTAGGGACAAAAATTGAACATACTAGGCCATAGATTAGGGGTCATTTGTGCCAATATTCCATTGAAATTCTCACCTTTTCCTTTTGCATCCAAGAAGAAGCTCAGTTCTATTCGGACACTCACTAAACTTTAATTTTTATTTTTTATTTTTTATTTCTAAGGAGCTGAAGAGATCGATTTCAAAAGGTATTACACATATCTTACGGTTATTCATATTTTTATTCTTTAATCCGTTCACACAAATCTTTGTATTCGATTTTTTTTATCGAGTAATGTTCATTCAATTAATCTTCTTGTACAGGTAATTTTGTACAGATAAGTTGATAGATTCATGCATGTGTGCATGTCATGCATATGTCAACCTATCTGTCCAACAAATTTTGTGAATGTAGCAGAGTTCATGTTCAATACCCATACACGTTACCTTCGCTTCAGAATTCTTGCCACGGCTTATACAATGAAATGGTTGGAATTTTGGGTAATATGGATTTCTTCTTATGATGATGCATAAAATGTTACTCCATTGATTAGGCTATAGTGCTACCTTAAGATGTTATTTCGTTAATCGGACTTTGTTGTCCTAACAATTTTGGGTATAATCTTTACAGTTTCAGTGATTAATTATTTAACGTCTGTTTGTATACGATTTATAACTACTACTTTTTATTATAAATTGATTTATGAATTTTGTTAAAATTATATATTAATTTCAACACAAATTCATAATCACTTGTCATTAATTGCCACACATTTCGTGAGATTTGCCACTAATAGGAATCCCAAATAAAAAGAAATAGGTCTGTGAGAGTTTATCCTAATCTCATCAACGAAATTTGAGATTCTTTAGAATTCTTATCCGTTCATGTTTGTTCCTTATTTTTAAAATTCATTTTCAACCAACCCTGAGGGGTTGCTCAATTGGTTAGGTCTTGGGTTTGCTCCCCAATGATCACCAGTTCGAATCCCCTCAGAGCCACTAAGGTGAGTACCCGGCCATAAACTTTAGGGCTCCGTGGAATTAGTCGAGGTGCGTGCAAGTTGGCCAGAACATCCACGGTTATCAAAATAAAAAAATTATTTTCAACCACATATCTTATTTAAATTTACTGAAATGTAATAAAAAAAATTGATTATTATCCAAACCTCGTTTTGTTAACAAAACACAAAAGTCAAGACAAACTGTCAGTTTTCAGAGAAAAATAATAGAATAACAAATGTATTAACATCCCATGAAAATATCATCAATGCATCAGTTAAAGTATCCAAGATTATAATTTATAGGTCTCTAAATTCAATCAATAGAACTATATTTGAGAGCCAAACCGAATCCAGTGGCTCGCTTCCAGGGCTCTCCTGATGCTGCACCGTGTTGATTAGCACGTGTCTACTTTCTGATCTTCTACAAGAAACAATTCAAGCAATGTTGTGAATATAGGGAAGTACTAGAGCCGCACATGTGATAATTTGAGAGAAAATATATAAAATATTGTATTGTGTCGAGTCTTGCATACCAAGATTGACATTAATGATAGGTAGAAAGATTTACCTTCACGTTATCTGCACTCGATCGTTGCACCGGTGGTGGATTATTTACTTTATATTCATGCATAATCCAAGAGGTCTTACTCTCTTTACACTTTGGAAGTTTTCCATCACAGCATACCCCCGTCTTTCGAGATCTGACATTTACACCATTGTGAGTGACTACAGTGTCAGCCGCTGATGCTTTCCAGTAGCCATTGCCTGCAGCTCGATTTGGTCTTGTCGCATTTTTGTATTTTTTACTCCTCGGTGTAAAGAAGAACCACTCGTTCTCTCCACTTAACCTGTAATCATCTGCTAATCAAAAAGTCCTTAAAACTCGAGCATAAAATCGAAAATGATGGTTTCAACACAATCACTTGCTAAAAATTCAGATATAATTTTACCAGCAAGTTCTTCTGGGTTGAAATCGTATAGCTTAACCACGTTAATCTTGTTGCGAGGGAGCTTCTCATTATTGGCCTTTTTCATCAAGTAATGAAGAATATGTTCATCATCAGTAGGCATAAAACGATAGCCAACAGGCAAACTCTCAAAGTATTCACTAAAGAAATTGGGATTGGTTTGCATGTGTTTATTCTCCATTACAGAACTCACGAACTTCAACAATTCTAAGTAAAAAAAATTAATTTAGAGTTTGTTAGTATTTATAGAGCCTTTTATTATTATTATTATGAATAACGTGTATTATAGTTTAATTGAACTTCTCTCTCTTTCTTGGATATGTATTCTTAACTTTATCAGATAGACTCCAGTGTACCAATGAAATTCAGACACGTAAACATGTTTTAAACTGAAACTCTAAATTAATTCCCTGTTTGGTATGGATTGTTCCAAGTTGAAAATGGTGTACAATATGTCAAATGTTGTACACACATCATTGCTATAACCTCACTACCATCCTTATGGTTAAACTCATCTACACTGTCTTCTAAGGAGGTACAACTATATAAGGTCAAGGGAAACTCATTTATGAACCATGTGAAGTGTACCAAAAGATAAATCATAAGGAGCCGCAAAAAATGACTTCATCTAATCAATCTTAAATATAAAATTAGCATATGCACAATCAATAAACCAAGTTTATATACATATCTTTTTTTCATAAGGGAATTTTGATAGAAAAATATAATAATTCTCAATAATATAATCATAGATTCATCTCCATGTTGAAATTCGAGAAAATAACAAAACATAAAACATACATATGTCCATAGTAATTTGATTCTTTTGCCTGGATGGGTAAGGATTTTCTAAATGATTGATGATCTTCACTTCAACTTTTGCTCTCTATTGATGGGGATGTAGAGAAACTCAAGAATACCAACAAATGGGGACCATAACCATATAAAATAATAGTAGTAACTCAATAGTTACTATCTTTCAGTTGCTTCAAATTGACCCCCATTTATCTAAAACAATACTCCGGTCCCTACACTATAATTTCATNATAATAGTAGTAATTCAATAGTCATTATCTTTCAGTTGCTTCAAATTGACCCATCATCAATTTAACAACACTCCGATCTCTACACTATAATTCTATGAAATCTAATATCCATTAGTCACAAAACATCTTTAACGGATCATTTTAATTGACTAATATCATTTAAATAATAGCACCACACATTTCAATATACAACGTGTGGCCCTATATATGTTAAAAAAAATATCCAACAAATTTGATCCTTAATCACGATCCATCTCTTGAGGACGCTCTTTCGGATTATTCAAATTTTTGTGTTCTACTTCAATATGTTGGCACATATATTTCTACTTCTATAATTAAAGTAGGATCCTCAGTATATAAATAATAATAATAAAAAACTTCCAATTGCTAGGCCAAGAAGCGTTTAATTCAGAAACAACATACCTTCAAGCATGTATCTCATTCAATGACTCATCCGCCTCTACATTGATTTCATCTTAAGAATTTTGAAAAAACATCATAAAGTAATTTACATAGTTCAATTCATAGACCAATAATATAATGCATTAAGAATGTATATGTTCAACTTTTATAGTGGATGTCGTTGGTGTGTAAAAACCACTAGATCATTACTCTGGAAAGGGGGTCGACTCATAAAGTACTCTCTTGATAATAGCATTGGGCTCGGATTTCCACCTACTCTTGCCGACCAAAATTCATATGCTGTTGTTCATTGGAATTCAGGCAGTGATGGGATCCCTTCTTTGGAATCCACGAAAAACGCAAACGAGACAAATCCCCTAATGTATGGTTGAAAAGTTGCGGAATCCATGAAAGATGTGGTTAATATTGATTATTTGACTTTGACTTGTATTAAAATCAGATTTTAATCCGGACCAAACAGAGGCCTAGTCTTGTACCTTTCAAAGAGCCATTACAAACAACTGCATATTTTCCTGCCGAATACTAAGCTATTTTCTTTTTTTGCAAACAGGTACAGAAGACAAAATCCTTAATACATTAAATGCATGTTCTTGTTCAATGCCCCAACGAAAGCAAACATTCCTTTTCATTTTTCTTCGGTGGAAACAAAAGATTCACGTAGCTGACTTTAGTGGGACTATGGCTTTTCCTTTCTATGTATGAAACAAAATCAATCACACTATGCTAGAAAGCTCCTTGGAGCAATTCGTGACTAAATAAAAAAATCTTAGTACTTAAAACGATATAATTGGAATAGAAGCAAATTCAATTAAACTAGTAGAAGCGGGAAAATACTACGTTTATACTTAAACCTCACGAAACACAAACTTATGTTTTCCAGACAACTATAAGTTAACAACTGAATCCAGGGAGTCGGTACCAGGAACTGAACCCAAGATTAACTCCTTTATGTCCATCTCTGGAAGATATAGTCCTCCTCTCACGTCCGCCATATATCTAACTGGATATCGGCTGTAAAGATAACCTCCCATCGAATGATTTGGTGGAACAATGGGAATGGGAACTGGATCGCAGTATGTATTCTGATGTTGGGGAATGAATAGAGTATTATGAACATCCGTGTTAGGGAGATTCTGATATTTATCGTTGATAAAGGAGTCGACCAATGCAATCTTGGATTTATAATTAGGCAAATTGTCTTCTGGTGCAACATTGATGGAATCTTCAGAAGCTCTACGTTTATTTTCTTGGTGACATGCACCTTCATCGGTGTTATTATCTAGTTCTTGAATCTGATCATCTCTTTTTCGCTTTCTATTCTCGTTCTTTCTGATCCTACACAGAACCCAATCGTCCAACTACAAGAAACAATTCAAGCAAAGAGGGGAAAAATATTTGTAATGTCGATACTAAAAAAATGCAAAGAACTTATTTAGATAGATAGAAAGAAAGATTTACCTTCATGTCGTCTGCACTCGATTGTTGCACTGGTGGTGGATTATTCACTGTATATTCATGCATAATCCAAGAGGTCTTTGTACCTTTTGGAGGTTTTCCTGTATAGTATACCAAAGTCTTTCGAGATCCAACGTCTACACCATTGTGTTTGATTATAGTGTCAGCTCCTGATGCTTTCCAGAAGCCATCACCTGCAGCTCGATTTGGTCGTTTGCCATTTTTGTATTTTTTACTCCTCGGTGTAAAAAAGAGCCACTCGTTCTCTCCACTTGACCTGTATTCATCTGCAGCATATCAAATAGCATGAAATAATATCATCGTTAGAAAGAAAGTTCCTTCTTAAAAGTAAAACTCGAGTACAACAGATGAATTTACCAGCAAGAATTTCAGGGTTGAACTCGTACAGATTAACAACGTTAATCTTATTGCGAGGTAGATTCTCTTTCTTGATCTTTTTCGTCAAGTAATGAACAATAAGTTCATCATGAGTAGGCTTAAAACGATAGCCAGGAGGCAAACTCTGGAAGTATTCATCATCGCTAACTTCATTTCGGAAATTGGGATACAAAGCTTTGAAATTCGGGTAAAATAAGGGGTTATTTACAGCATTGGTTTGCATGGGTTGATTCGAACTCATCACGACCACTCACATGAACTTCAACGATTCTACTCTAAGTAAAAAATTTAATTTGGAGTTTGATATGGTATTTAATAGAACCCTTTCTTATGAATAACATGTATTATAGTTTAATTGAACTTCTCTTTCTCTGTAGCTTGGATATGTATTCTTAATTTTATCATTTATGAATTTTATCAAATAGACTTTGTGTACCAATGAAATTCAAACTCGTGAACATGTTTTAGATTGAAACTCTAATGTGATAATGAATTATTAAATCATTATTCATTAAATTAAATTACATTATAATTTTAATAGAGAACGTGGTAACAATTTGTAAGTCGTGCTTACAATTGAGCCACAACAGCAAAAGTTCTAATTATTAAAAAAAAAATGTATATATATAGTGGATACTACGTCCGTTGCATTTTATACTTGGAAATTTTACAGCAATTATGAAATAAAATATGAAAAAAATTGTGAAGATTTTCGCAAAAAAATTAAATATACGGATTTATCGAAATAGAGCAAGCGGGTCTCCAATCTTTAGTTTATGGCAACGTGGTCCTGAACCTTCTGGTTTGTAGCAGTTGGGTCCATAATGGGCAATTTCTGTCAATGGGACCATTAAAAATACACCATATTCCACATTTTTTCAGTTCTTCTTGTGCCAAACTTTCTAATATAGATTTTTTAAATTTATTTTTAGTGTTGAAGGTGTTGACAAATTTTTTTTTTTTAAATGAAAATAAAAGGCCAACTTAAACTCTTTGTTAGGTTTTAAAATTGTTGGCAATCTTTTGACAAAACTATTGTTGTGAAAGAGTTTTTAAAAGTCAAAGTGTCAAGAAGTAAGTTAGAAATCTTAGGGTTTGAGTATGGAAAAAAGGAATAAAAGTAGCCGTATTTCGCTAGCCTATCGCCCAACTGATGCTTGAGCGGTAAAAACAGAAGCTGTGTTGCCATCCTGCCGCCTTGACTCTGCTTGAGCGATAGTGTATTCCGAGGAAATTTAATTCACGTTTTTCAAAATTTTTATCCGGCTCATACTGCCCAAAACCTCTTCACTATATATATCTACGCCACTATTAGAAAAATAAATGTTGAACATTGAGAGAAATAAGGTTTTGCATCCTCTATATCATCCCACATCATTCCTAGAGTTCAACTATCATTTTGATTTGATCATTACTTTGAAAGACATCATCCTAGCTCACATAAACCAAACACCGCTAAAGATTAAGGAAGGTGGTCAGAGTTTCTGGATGTTAGAAAACGAGTTCTCATTAATCCACGGGAGATGGACAAATTCAGAAGGTCGGGAGTTGCTACAGGAGCGAGCAACAATGGAGGCTTTGGTGATTATAGTCAGGAGGTCATAGAACACTAGAATTAGTAAAGTCTAACAATACTGTAAGTTGATTCGTTTATAGTTGATTGTTACTGGTTTGGGCCCGGAGTATTTACCGAGTTGCGGGGTTTCTCCATTATCATATTTTGTGTTATTTGTTGTATTCCATATAACTGCGGCATTCAAACCATAGAAAATTTGAATTGATTAACTAACCATATATAAACAATTAAAAGTGACTTGTTACTTATTAATTGTTAATTTTAATTCCTCATAAACACCTATTCACCCCATCTAAGTGTTAGTCAGGTCGAACCTTGTAACTAGCAATTGGTATCAAAGTCTCATTTCGATTTTTGACCCATATTTAATCTAAATGAGTCAGTCTTTTTCCGTTCCTCTGTTTTTTGACGAAAGCAATTATGCATATTGGAAGATTGGGATGAGAACATTCATTAAGTCTCTAGATGAGCGGATTTGGGTTAATGTACAAAATGGTTGGATCGTCTATTCCTCAATAGTTTCGGGTGTAGTTACCTCACTGACATTTCTCTTTGGACCAAGGATGAATTAGCCGAGTACAACTAGAATAGTAAATGGCTTCATGCCCTATTTATGGTTGTGTTTGCTGAAAAGTTTAGGAGAGTGTCGATGTGTGAAACCGCAAAAAAAGTTTAGGATATTTTAGAGACCACACATGAGGAAACCAAAATCATTAAAAACTCCAAACTGCAGATGTTAACCTCTAGGTTTGAAGAAATTAAAATAAAGGACGATGAATTGTTCGATGAATTCTACGCGAAGTTGAATGAAATAGTGAACTCAAGAAGTCATTGTAATGTATTCGCTATTGATTTTTAAATCGCTATGTTAAGAATGTTGTAACTGTTGTGCAACGGAATCTCCGTCATATCATTCACATCAAGCAGTCGTTTAGAATAGGCACTCAATTCTCTATTGCAACTATATAATTTGGACTTCGAATGACTTGTTTTAATATTGTGAATGAGATTGACTGTGTTAATTCTCCATATTCTACGTTGCATATGCAGTCATCTTGGCTTTACAACTTGTCTGGATGGTAGCTGGCAGCTTATAAGAACTGCTTGTAGTATCACTTTTTTGGTCTTCATGGCTATATGTAAACACAACATATCTCACAATTCGATCGTCATCCTTTTGCGAATTTCGTTTCCTAACTGGAAGGTGTACATCATACGCATACCTTTTGTAAAAATCAAACATATATTTTTTATCGTTGAACTTTATACCCACCTCAGACACAATCACACCGTCTACTCCTACAATTCCATCATCCACTAAATTCACATTGTCCAAAATGTTGTCATTATCGGACTCTAACAAAATATCGTCACCCGCCTCTTCCGAATTTTCGTTCGCTACGATAAAAAATCAATTACAACGTTACAACTAATTCAAGAAACAAATATTGAATTGATACATGATAATCATTCAATCTATACAACTGTTACAAGTTAATCAATCTTTTTTATCTTTTTAATTTCAATTAATTCTAGTTTTCCCATTTTTTGTGGTTAATTGCCTCTTTCCCCATATTTGTAGTTATGATTAAAAGAATAGACAAGAAATGTGTGTTCTAAAAAGATTTAAGCTTTCCCTAAGCTTAGTGAAATATAAAAATGAAATTCAAGCTATACATTAAGGTTGCAGATAAATAATGATTTTTTTAGGCTGACAAAACAAGGATTTGAAAAATGGGTTGACAGATTTCCTTGTAAACCATTGATTCGAAAATGGGAATACAGATTTTTGGCATTTTCTCATCTCTTACTCTTTTATATATATAAAAAAAATTCTAATGTCTATTTTTACGGTTTAAAGTTTACCAATTCAAGATCAAGTTACATACTTTATAACAATCTTAAATTTGATTAAATTTAAGAATTTTTATGGTTACAAATACTGTATATGATAAGAATGATTAAGTCCAGCATGATGAAAACTCCCAAATTTTCTGAGTTTAAATAGAATTGCTAAACCCAATGCTTTTATAAAATCCCAATCTGTTTCCAGAGTTTTGAATACCAAATATTTGCAGTGATAATGGTAGATTGTGTTACCATTTCTGGTGTAATGAGTTGATCCTAGCATGTTTTTCTGGGTTGAACTCGTATATATTTTTTTTAGGATTGAATAATTCGTCTAGAAAGAAATGTATACGAGTTCAATTCCGAGAAACTTGCTGGTGACTTCAAGAATTGTTGCTACCCCATTATGAGTATTCAGTTAGTATTCTTCATATTCTTTCTATGAAGTATTTGAATTTACCTTCAAGAGCATTGATGTGATTGCAGCATAAAAAGATGGGGATGAAGATTAATTAATACAATACTGCAATGTAATCGAATTCACGGTTGGATAATTTCATAATTAGTTTAAAGAGAGACAAAGAAGGTGTGCATGGCACATACCATATACGTAAGCGAGCTCGAGGGTTGGGGTAGGATGGGAGTAGCGATGGTGGTTATGTTGCGACCACCATTTTTATTTGATACACCACATTTTAATTATAGTTAAGGTTTTCAATATAATTTACTAAATGTAGCAAAGATTAATAACCTAAAGTGCAATTAAAATATGGTACAAGAAATAAAAATTGTGGTGTGAATATAATTATCCGTATTCCCTAAATTTTGTGAAATGTCTAAAATACCCTAATTTCATTTTAAGCCGGATACAAACTTTTTCTTTACATAATTTTTACAGTTGCTATGTTGGTAGCACATGATGAATAAAACTATTTTACCAGAATAAATTTGACAATATAGTTAACATCTTCTCATATTTGTAGTGGGATCCTCGCGGGACCCATATAAATAAAAAAATGAAAAAAATTCTCCCCTCTCCCCATTGTGAGGGATCTGTCACGGAGTAGGAGGGTGCCAAACCCTCTCTGGCACTACAGCATTGTTCGCACGTGATTGAACATATTTATTATTTTATTTTTCCAACTTTCAATGAAATGTCGCAAAGTGTCATCTGTAAAAAAAATCTATGAAGAAATTGTGTGTAGCATTGTCTTTTTAAGCCCCTATTTAATTTGTTAAAAATCAAAATTTTAGTAGATTTTGATAAAAATTAATGAAACATGTGTTAAAAATTTGATAAAAATCGTGGTTCTCTTAGAATGTGATTGAAAATAAAATTTTAAAAATGAATTTTAAAAATAGGGACCAAACATAAGTAGGCACAACCTTCTTTTTTCTTTTTTTTCTTTTTTTTTTCAAACAACTAGCTATCTTAACTCGTGATCATATCAATTGATAGGTGAGTGGTACAGACTCGAATTGGAACTAAAAAAATTATTATTTAAATAATATTATTATTTTATTGAACATTCATTTACAAGATTTTACGGTAAAGTATCTTTTATTAATAATTTTATAGTTCTAAGTTAATATAAAAATAATTTTTAAAACTTTCGACAGTTCATCACATCTCAAAAGATTTACGTAATGACATTTTTATGAATTAATAGTTCTGTTAAGTTTTTCATTTATAAATCATTTAGTTTCAAGTTGAAAATGTATCTTAAATTATTTTTATCCAGAAAAATCTATCATGCTTGAAGTATTTTGTAGAAGTTCAGTTGTTTTAGAAAATAAATTTTATAAAATTTAATTATTGAAAGTTTTAATATTAAAATTCTAATTATATGTAAGAATACTTAAGAAACTAATCGTACATAAAATTAGAAGTTCACATTTTTTTTCATGTTGATGTAGGAACCCGTAGCTACCCGCCAGTGGAGCCCTGACCACCCTGAAGGGACGGAAGTCCGACCACTATGAATGCGCACTAGGTAAACCCCACTCTATGTGCAGTAGCTCGCAAACCACACAGAAGAAGTAAACAGCACTAGGCAAGTCCGGGATTCGAACTCGTGACCTTTGAAGTTAACATATTTAATTGAAGCTAAAAGTGGATCAAGAGTAAATGGTATTTTAGACATTTGACAGTTTTCCCCTTAAAAATAAATGCTTTGAGAGAAAATGTCTTGCTATCAAAATAAGTAATGTTTTTATAAAGAAAAAAAAAATGCAAATATATTTAGAAACAAAATTTACTTTAAAAGTTTGGGTAATTTTAGCTTAGCTAAACATGCTCTCAAAAATTAGATTCACAGTAGGAATTGAAATCATCACAGCAAGAACAGTTGCATAACTGTAAAGAAGATTCAACACATCTATCCTTTTACAGCTCCAAAACTCACCTAAAGATCTACAAGAAATTTTATCAGCAGCTAAAGCCTAACACTTTGATCATCAGATATCGTCTCTTCGGAAGAGGCATCACTTTGGATGACGATCAAGTCATCTTCATTATTATCGGATGGCTTCGTCTTCCCACATCTCGTAATCAGCGGTGAATTGGTTAAATGAGATCTACCACCTGTTTGTAGCTCAGTTTTACCTGTGATGGTGTACTTGTTATTCAACCTAATCTTTGATTGTTGGCTAAACAACTGCATTCTGGGATGAGTAGTGGAAGCAGCTGAAGTCGGGGTTGAGTTGGGTGGCCTTGGAGGGATAGCAGCAGCTTCTCTTAGCCAGGGCGGTAAACTACAACCTTCCACAGCCATGCTCGTCATGGGACCCATATGCAATGAAGATTCAGCACCAGGTACTACATAACTATAGGATGGAAAGGTCCTCGAGTCTGTAACTGGTTTCTGAAGTAGCCCATTATGTTGAATATTGATGAAATCCATTGGTGATATTTTCTTAACACTATCCTCGTATCGGGGGCGTACATCTCCAAGTGAAAGTTGGATATCATCTGAAGGATGCTTTGTCTTAGGATATGAAAAATTCTTCATATGGCACGACAGTACATCTGGTGTACTGGCATATTTCGGTTGGGAGATGAGCATGCTGTGCATGAGTTTCGATTGATCCTCGTCCCACCTCTCAGCCAAGTCCCTAGGTGTCCTCCAGGGAAAGAAATGCAACCTCGGATCCTTCAACATGGCATCCCAATTACCTCTTCCATGTCTCCTCACTCCGATCCACAGACAATCTAGCTCCTCCTCTGACCAGTTGGTCGGAGATTCAAACCTATCTGAAAAACTGACACTGTTACACTTCGCTACTCTTGCTCTCCTTAAAATGTTATCGAGCATCATCCTATGTCTTAAAAGTGACAATGTTTGATCTAAACAGGGTTGCGGTCCTAAATCATGAAAGATTTCTTGAGATTGGATGTTAACATTAGGCCACTGATATGACGTGGAATTGTAAGGAACCGTTGGCTCCATTGGCAGGGATAAACCAAGAAAGAGTGGAGATCTTGAACTAGCGGGTTTGAGCTGGCTCCAGCTTTCTTCCGATTCCACAAAAGCAATCTCCTCCTGCTGCGTTTTTGCTGATGATAACAAGTCATGGCTTCTATTCTCAGGGAATAACTGCAACAAATTCCTTATTAAATGTAGGGAAATTTGTATAATAGTCCCCCAACTTACTGTTTTGGCAGTTTCATTGGTCTCCAGACTGATTTCTTCCCTTTGACTGTTAACAAGTCAATATTTATTTTCTATTTAAACTAAGGGCACAACTGTCTTTTCGGTAAAAAAATTATTTTAACAGCTAAATTGAGGGGACTCATAACTGGGGACAAACAATGCTATAAAACTATAAGATTAAGATGCGGCCCAAAGCTATAGGTTGTGACCAATACTTCAAGTTTTACATAAAATATTTAATTAATAAATATATAAACGCTAATTATCACTAAAAAGCACTCAATTATCTCTAATAAATGTAATGATACCAACTGAAAAGTTCCAATTGTGCAAGTTACCTGAAGATAATTATTTTTTGATGCAATTCCCCTGAACTGTGAAGGATGATTTACGCCATCATTGCTTTTGTCTACTGCTTTCACCTGAGAACCACCACTTTCTAGCATCCGTGCCTCATGGGTGGACAAATTCACCTTAATTTTCGCATTGAGAAATTCCAATTTTTTACTCAGAGACGCCTTATGAAAATATGGTTCATCAGAACCGGAGTCCAGTGTTACATTGCAGTCAATATCACGGGCTGTACTATCATAGAAACATTAATAAGTGCAAACCCCTCGCAAAGAGAAGTGCATGAAATTGAAAATATATTTAAATCCTCAGAAACTAGGGAAAGATCTACATAGAATCCTTACCATGTACAGCAACAGCTAGGTCCTGAGATGCTCCTGAACATTTATTCCCTGACATTTCATCAGGCAATTCTGTGGTGTTCAAATCTTCATTACACATTTTTTTATCAATGTTATTATGCTCCAAATCTGTAATGGCAATATCTGATAAGTTTCTTGATGGATTTACTCGATAATTTTCTTGAACATCCATGGCTACATAACAATGAAAAGAAGTCTCCTTGAGAAAATGTGGACTAGGTCGAACAACAGTAGATGATATATCAATTGCTGTATTTTGAAGAGACTTCAACTGCTCGTCCACTTGTATGCCACTGTTATATATATTCACGAATCAAATTATATAACCAACAGTAATATATTTAACTATACAGACATGAAAGAAAGTTACATCTCAGTCTTTGGTGCTGATGCAGGAAACTCAGACTTATTATCAGTTTGATGACTATAAACCTGTAATAGAAACAGCAAATTGATTAGCAGCCCACAATGAATTCCATTATTTCATTTACAAAAGATATTAACATGCTGGTGTCCAATGTTAAGGCGAGAATCTTATATATATTTAAACACTGGAACAAATTTAGATATTATATTAGACAAAAATCAGAAACTCCATCTACTCTTCCACAACTTTCTGGAGTAAACAGAAACATTTTTTTCCATTTAATCAATTTGTTGAGGTTCCAAGGTATCAGGAATAACTTGACCTTGCAAAATGAAAATCCTTCACGCCTTTGTCAGCAATATCCAAGCTTGAAAATTGAAGAAAACCCAAACTCAAAATGTAGTGCTGGCACGGCGTCACCTCATTATTAGAAATGTAAATGTGTCTATTTATGTCAGTGAATAAGTAACTACAATGTGGGCATGTTTGTCCCCAAAGACTACCCAAAGAAATATGCAAGGTCGAGATTAACTTTTGGATAGAGGATTACTGCTTGCAATTTTAAGAAGCAAAACTGTAATTTTTTCCCATGCAAACCTAAAAGCTAAGCCGGCTGGCCCGGCTCTCATTTTCATAATTTCTCTTACCTTCTCTTATCAAATTTTTTTTCATAATTTCTCTTCCTTTTTCATTTTACTTCAACAAGAATTTTCTTCTTCTTTTACAATAACTAAGCTAGCACTAATAGCTAAATTATTAGCACTGCAAGTATATGCAAAAATTAATATTATTTAAAATGTGATTCTAAAATCAATCTAATCAATCTTAGTAGTAGTAACATTTTTATCTTACGGTGGCATGAATATATTTCCGATAATACTTTTTCCTAGCTTCCTTCCTGTGAAATGAAACATTCTTTCAAAATTTAATTATTTTCGCTTCTTACGATCCGCAGAAAAAACTGATATCCAAAAGGCTGCTTCAGAAAAGATTAACATACTTCTTTTTCATTCCTAACAAAGGGATCCCTCAGTTGTATATCCTTCTCATTCTTCAGATCCTCCGTGTTATCATTTGAGCAGCTTTTAGCAGGTGGCGTTTCAAATGTACAGGTGGAGACAGCAGATTCAAGGGTACATCCTTCTGCTGCCAATGAGGAATTCTCTCCAGCTTGTAGATTTGTCCCAGTAGTACCCTTGTTCTGCTTGGATCTTCGACTAAATGTAATTAGTGCTGAGGTAAACTTCCGTTTTGCAGCTGCATTGTTGCATAAGGTACTGCGTTTATCTTTACGAGCTAAGTCCAATTCTTCCATAGTAAGTTTTCCTGAAAAAGATGCATCATTACTGTCATGGTTGCATTTTTTTGGGGGACTCCCTTCCAAAAGTGCATTTGAATGCTCTCTCCTCGCTTGTGTCACATCAGATCCTACAGAAAGGATCTCGCCGTCCAGTGTGCTTGAGGTAAACTTCCGTTTTGCAGCTGAATTGTTGCATAAGCTACTGCATTTATCTTTACGAGCTAAGTCCAATTCTTCCAAAGTAAGTTTTCCTGAAAAAGATGCATCATTACTGTCATGGCCACATTTTTTGGGGGGACTTCCTTCCAAAAGTGCATTTGAATGCTCTATCCTTGCTTGTGACACATCAGATCCTACAGAAATGGTCTCACCCTCCAGTCTGCTTGAGAAATCACGTTCTTCGATACAACCAGAGCAAAGCCTTTTCCCTTTTGGAGCATGCTTCAATTGAAAGGTAATGCAAATTTAATAGTTTCTCCAGAAAAGTTTCCCTCAACAATCACAATTTTCAGAGTCCCTAAATCTGAAAAGAAAATAAAGAGGGAGATACCTCGGGAGGATTCAGACATTCAATACGATGCTGCCGATAGCAGCTCTGACACAGAAACATATTGTCAAAAACTTTGCCTCTATAGTATTCATTGCACATCTGCAAATAGGTAAAATCTATGCTATTCAATATAGTGAAGAATATCAGAATAAAATTATTTTGAACAGGGCATGCAAACTCAGTTACATAAAACCCAGGTATTTGCTAGCTCGACTCAAAAAGCTCAGAAAAGAGGCACACCTACAGCTCCACGATTCGCCATAACTATAAAATTTTCTGCGAGAGTTATATAATTGCTCAGCTTAGTTTTGTTCTTATAAGACAATTTCTTAGATTGAAATAAAGAAGTCTCAAGAGTTCATTTGAATTATATATTACAGTTTACTAGTGGCCATGGTTTCAAATATACCCTTTGTTTTTAGTGTGTGTGGTGGGGGTGGGTGGATATTCGTGCTCAAGAATACTAATTGGACCAGACTCATGATAAAAAGATTTAATGCAAACATGAAATCAGATAAAAAGTTGCATTGGGTTATGGACCTAACATTCTTGCTCCTACCATCACAGGGTAGATGTATAAAAAGCAGGGCCTAAGATACAGATTAAGCTCACTCCAACATAATTCATATGGTTTCCTTCCATGTGAAAATAGAAGGTCAATTCCTTAAAATAGTTTGTTGGAAAGCTATGATGGTTGTAGTGGTCGACACCTTCAATTTGGCAAAAAATAATCTGCTAAGACTTGAAAAATCATCCTAAAACATCATTTCATATTCGGATTCCAGATTCTTGTAAGGTGTGTATCCTTTACAACATTTTGAGGCCTTCAGATAAGAGGAAGAGAAAAGCCATTTAAAATATTGGGTCACACACGACGGTTGAAATCTTCATCATTGAATGAAAGCAAATGCTAAACCTATGAAGCAAGGGCAATTGAAAGATCCTATTGCACGCTCGACCCAAAAAATCACAACTCAAGACAGCATCAGCACTCTATAATTCATTCATAAGTGTCTTCACAATCCTTTATTACAATCTAAGGGAGTCAGGACCTCAACGCAACTAATAGATTCAATCATTTGTTGGGCCTGGCAAACTAGGATTCCAACAAAGGCCCAAGCAAGTAAAAAAGTTCAGTATTTTTCCAACAACAGAGGAGAAACAACAAAGAAAACTTTCATCTAAAATGGCTATGACAAAAGGTATACATGTATCCAATGCACAGATTTTACAATTCACCATGAAAGTCGATAAAAAACGAGAGGCGGATTTCATCAGAAATTTTATACAGTAATAAGTTCCAAGTTCCTTGATTCAATTTCAAGTCTTGAACGACATGATAACACTATACTTCTAAATTAGATTGTATGATAAGTTTGCACTTGTAAAAAGTTATCCAGCAATACATTATAAAATACCAAATAAATTAACTGGCATCTTACCCCAGATTCTCTGTTTTTGTTCTCCAATCTAGATTCTTCAATAGGTTCTTCATAATTGTCCAGAGTAGCAGAGGCTTTGGACTCTTGGCACTCGGACGGTGCCTCAAGACACACATTGTTATGAGAAAGATCAAACCTTGAGAGTGGCCGCCTCCGCTTGTAAGTTAAAACCACTTTAGTGCTCATCATCTATATTCTGAGTGCTTCAACTCTCTAAAAATAAGCATCAACCAATTCTTCGGACATTCTGTTTCAGATTGATGGTTTTAATGGCTGCAAGTACCAAAAGAAAGAAAGAAAAAAAAAGTGTTTATACCAGCAATAGATACAGTGTAAGAAAATGCAAAAGCTGCTTAAGAAAACAAACGTAATGTGCAAGAACTAAAAAAAAGTGTTTATACCAGTAATAGATACAGTGTAAGAAAATGCAAAAGCTGCTTAAGAAAACAAACTTAATGTGCAAGAACTATAATTCACAAAATACTGAGTTCTATTTCTAAACATTACATCAATGCACAAAATTTTATTCGTATTTGTGAACATCAAGCATAGCTCAGCCACAAGATGGTCTACAATATTCATAAATTTGCAAACCAGGGTTAAAAGCACCTTCAAAGCTAATTATCGCCAGTTTTCCCCCAATTTTTGGGGAGAAACCACTGAAGCTTACCAAAGACCGCAACACCTTCCTAACAACAATCCTAGCTGCATTTATCTATTTAACTCCTACAATTTGGTCAAGAAACTGTTTCCCTTTGCTTCTCAAAGAACTACCATTAAACATATCTTAGTCCAAGAATTATTAACATTAAAAAGAAACCCAATATTTATTCACAGCCGCAACACATATCTTAAGTAAAAGCATTGCACAAAATAGAAAAAGCCCAATAAAGGAAACCACAATTCCTCATCATATTCATGAACCCATACCGAAAATGGAAGAAAGCACAAAAGAAACTAGAAAAAAGAGAAAGCCCACATTAGAAAGATATTAAAGACTAATAAAGAGTGACTTTAACAGTGTGTTTTCTATAGAGATAGAAAGAAAAGAGATTCCTACAAACATTAAAGAAACCCATAATTTATTCAAAACCATGACACATATTTAAACAAGGCAGGCAGGTAATAGAAAAACCCCACTGAAGAAACACAATTCATCTACATAATCATGAACCCATAAAGATAAAATGAAGAAAAAAACCCATATCAAAACGAGACAAATTCATACCTTAATTTCACCAAACAACAATTACATGAAAATATGAAGCAATACACGAACTTACAGAAAGAGAGAGATATAGAGTAGAAAGTACTGTGTGTATTTTAGAGAGAGATATGAGCGAGAGAGTAAACACTACTTACAAAATAAAAACATTGAATAAGCATCGAAATTGGGAAGTAGATTTGACTGATGCAATTTATGCAAAGGAGGGGACGAAAGGCGCTTAGGTGTGTGCGTATTTATTGTAGTATCACGTCGTAATCCGGTAAAATTCGAAAAAGTGGGCTCCACAGTTTGTTCTTTTGCTTCGATTTTCGCACACGTTTGGACGGTGTAGTGCTCATGTGACTTCATCAGAAGCTATGCAGCATGACTGTACTACGCAGTGCATTGCTGCAGTCTGTATAACGTAACGCAGAAAAAATCAAATCTTGGGTTTTGTCGTTCAAAAATTGTTCTCATTTATCCTCCGATTTTCCCATAGTTCTTGAATGTGTGTTGAAATATTAAGTGGAAATTTGAAAAAATGACTACTTTTATATGATCATTTCTAAAAATGTTCAAAAAATTGCCAATGCCCATTTTACAATTATTTAGACTAAAATGTCCATTTTAACACTTTTTAATTCCATACTAAGCACCATGTCAATTCATATCACTTTTTTCAATTGACCCATTAAAATTTACCCAATTCTACGTGACCCGACCCAACTATATGAAACAAAATCAAATCTAATACTTCTTGACCAGTAGGGTTTTGAGGACGCACGCCTCCGCTTGACGGAGAACCGTTGCTTCCTCCTCCTCATCCGTTCTCTATCTGTGAGAATTTTACAGATTTTTGCATTCAGTTTTGTGCCATTTGTTTCGTTTTTCTGTTGACACCTCCAATTTTTCAGGCTTCTCGTTTAATGCTAATTCAACTTTATACATATTCATTCTTCAGATCTACAAAGATCCCACAGCAAATTTCAGCTCAAGAACACAAATGATACCACCTTTTTTTTTTCTCTCTCTATAAACAAGAATTCAAGAAACTTAGTTCACTCTTTACAATCTTGAAACGAAAATGGATCTAAATCCGAACAATTTCCCAATTCTCTCCTATGTTATGGCCAAGATTCCGAGCTTTAAATGCACTTTCGCCGCCACTGAGGATTTCGACGTCGAAAACCCGCTGTCGTCGAAGAACGCTCCGAGACAAAGAACTTTATTTCAAGCTTATCGAGAAGATGCCTCACCTCACTAACCCAAAGCTCATCTCCGCCATGCGTTTGGTCGTTGCGTCGTTGCGACGTTGCTCAGACCCGATATGTGCTCCACACCCTCAGTGTGTACCCGGATCATGAGGTTGTAGACCCTGCACACTTGAAATTATCAGAAATCGAGGCCGATTTGTCGAAAAGTTTGGAAGAGATAGCACTTGCTTCTCAGCCGACGGATTCTAACCAGCTTGATTGGAGGGCCCACCAGGCGAAAAAGGAGGAGGAGTGTAGAAAGGCTGTCGAAAGGGAGAGAGAGATTTAAAAAGCGGTTATCTATTTGGTTGAAATGCACGAGGGGTATGAGAAGATGTTAAGTAAGGCGGAGATTAGATTGGAGAGGATTTATGAGGCTGCGGTGGAGGGAAAAGACGAGGCAGAAGAGTCATTTAGAGAGAAGGAAAATGGCCCTCATGAGGGGGCAGAGGAAATGAACGAAGAAGTGGGAAGGATTCCGAGGGATGCAAAGTTGGGGAAGGTGATTGAGATGATGGATTTAGCGGGAAGAAGATTGAGGTTGTTGCCAGAGGAGTTTGGGAGGTTTAAGTCATTGGTTGCGCTTAATTTGTCAAACAGTCTGCTTGAGGTTAGAGTTTGCATATGAATGTTAAAATAATGCATTCGAATTGTTTGATTTAGATTGTATTTGGATGCTTTTTTTTGTTAATGCTATGGTCTTTCGATGTGGTTATCACTCGTATAAGTTTATAGTTTACAATTGTATCTTTGATCATTTGAGCTTGTTTGAAGAGATGCTTGAGTAGATTGTTTGCCAGATTTATTTATAATTAATGCGTACGGTTAAGGATATTGTTCTTGGTGTTATAAAAGAAAGGAGGAATAGGTGTTCTAGTTGTTGGTATTGAGCTTGAAATTATGTTTGGAAATAAGAAACAATTATATTATCTGCTTACCAATTCTTGAAAGTCATGTGCAGTAACCAAGGGCGGATCTAGGGACGGGCTGGCCAGTGCTATAGCCCGTCCCTTCCAGCCCAAATGCTGAAGAAAAAAAAAATTGAAGTAAAAAAAAAAAAATTTATGTGTGAATTTTTTTTCTTTGCGTATTAGCCCGTGCTAAATTTTTTTCTGGATCCGCCACTGCTTAAAAAGGTCTATCAAAATTTGAGTGCCACTCTTAATTTGTAGTTTTATATTGCCTGGTCATCAATTATTACTAATAATCACGACAAATTAGTAATAACGAATGTGGGGATTCAAAGTAGGTTAAATTATCAAGAAACACACTAGAGAATAAAGTAGTTTGGATTTGGTGCTTTTACTGTCTTTTGAAGCTTTGATGACAATTGGTACACATATGTCAATTAATGAAATGAAAGAGGAATTCGTAAGCATCATCATAGATTTTTTTTTTTCCCTCATTAATAAACTTTTGAATTTTGCTCAAGTCGGATGATAAAAGTAATCATGTCAAGTCCTTTCAAGAATGGAAGTTACAAAATTCCACATTTTCCAATATTTTGTTACCATTGGCATTGTTCTTGATGAAGATTTGTATCTTTTTGCTTTAACTTCGATATCACCTTATTAGGAGCTCGAGTTT